GCCTATTTTGAAAGTGGCTGCCATTTTAGTTGCGGAAAATTCACTTTTTGTCAATTCAGTAGCTTTGTAACTGATTTCAGGTGTCCTGCATTGTAAAAGCATTGGCAAAATTTTGTATTTTATTATATTATCTTTAGCGCATTTTTATTGTCTGCCATTTTAACCATCATTCACCTTTCTCTTTCTGAGCAATACCATGTGAGCCCAGTACCCATGGGACTACTTTTACAGAATGTTTTCAATAATTGGTTTAAGGGAAAAACAAATTAAATATAGTTCGCCATATTGATACAATCTTTTGTTTTATCATTTCAGATGTGTTTGGCTCAAATGATAGCAAATAAACAATAAAAAGGTAAACAACCAGTGTATGGATAGTATCATATAACAAGATGAACTTTGTAAAACAAGAAGAACTGCATCCTGAGACTGAAAATCTCAAAGAACATTATGGGGCGAATATGTCGACTTTGGATGCACAAATGATTAAACAAGAGCCTGATGAAATAAAAGAAGAAGTAGCGCAAGGATTCGCATCTCATGATCTTCCAGGATATGATGGAAACGCAGATAATATCAATCTTGTGAGTCACACAAATTTCAAAAAAGAAAATTTGGGTCAATTTGACAATGACTTTGAAAACTCTGTATTTGCAATTAAGTCTGAACAATCAGGTTTACAAACTGATGAAGATATAGAAACAAAACAATCATTTGCTAATCAAGCACATTTGGAACATGCTGGTCAGTCAGATGTCCATAATCCACACAGGAAAATTCACACTGGAGCAAGACCTTTTAAATGTGAGCATTGTGAAAAATATTTTAGTAAATTTAGCAATTTAAAAATTCACGTGAGAATCCACACAGGAGAAAGACCATTTAAATGTGAACATTGTGAAAAATGTTTTAGTAATTCTGGTCATTTGAAAAAACATACAAGAACTCACACAGGAGAAAGACCCTTTAAATGTGAACTTTGTGAAAAATGTTTTGGTCAATCAAGTAATTTCAAGAGACACATGAGAACTCACGAAGGTGAAAGACCTTTTAAATGTGAACTTTGTGAAAAACGTTTTGGTGAATCTAATAATTTTAAAAGGCGCATGAGAATTCATGAAAATGAAAGACCTTTTAGTTGTGACCAGTGTGGAAAATGTTTTTCTCAGTTTGGTAATTTGAAGATACACATGATAATTCACACAAAAGAGAGACCTTTTAAATGTGAACACTGTGAAAAATGTTTTGGCCAGTCCATTTCTTTAAAGAGACACATGGTAATTCACACAGGGGAAACACCTTATAGATGTGAACATTGTGAAAAGTGTTTTGGTCAGTCTAGTAGTTTAAAGAGACACATGGAAATTCACTCAGAAAAAAAAGCTCTTTTTAGTTTGAAATGTAAACATTGCGAAAAATGTTTTGCTGGAGCTGCTACTTTAAAGAGACACATGAGAATTCACACAGGGGAAATATCTTTTAAATGTAAGCATTGTGAAAAATGTTTTTTTCAGTCTGATAGTTTAAAGTTACATATGAGAATTCACACAGGAGAAAGACCTTATAAATGTGAATATTGTGAAAAATCTTTTACTCGATCTAAGTGTTTAAAGACACATATGATAACTCACACTGGAGAAAGACCTTATAAATGTGAACATTGTGAAAAGAGTTTCGGTCTGTTTGGTAATTTGAAAACTCACATTCTGAGGATTCATACTGGAGAAAGACAGTTTAAATGTAAACATTGTGAACAATGTTTTGGTCTGTTAAGTAATTTAAAAGTACACATGAGAATACATGCAGTAGACAAAACATTGAAATGTGAACACTGTGAAAAACGTTTTAGTCAATCTAGTAGTTTAAAGGTACACATTAGAATTCACACTGGAGAAAGACCTTTTAAATGTGAACATTGTGAAAAATGGTTTGGTCAATCCAGTAGTTTAAAGAGACACATTAGATCTCATAAAGAAGAAAGACTTAATAAATGAGAACATTTTGAAAATTTTGTTGTTCTGTTTAGTAATTTAAAAACACACAATATAATTCACACCGGAGATAGAACAATGCGAAAAATAATTTGAAAAACACACATGAGAAAGCATGCAGGAGAAGGAACTTTGTGATTCACACAAATCTGAAGAAAGAAAATTTGGTGGGTCAAGTAGTGATTCAAAGTCACATATGAGAACTCATACTGGAGAAAGACCTTTTAAATGTGAAAGTTGTAAAAAATGTTTTAATCAAAAAATTTAAGGGCATACATGAGGACTCACGGAGAAAGACCTTTTAAATGTGAAATTGTTAATTTTTTTTAGTGAATCAAATAGTTTAAAGATACGTATTAGACCACACAAAGGCGAAATACTTTTTAAGTGTGAATATTGTGAAAAATGTTTTGGGCACTCTGGTAATTTCAAAACACACATAAGAACACACACTTGAGAAATACCTTTTAAATATGAACACTTTGAAAAGAGGTTAAGTCAATCTCAACATTTAAAGAGACATGTGATAATTCATACTGGAGAAAGATCTTTAAAATGTAAACACTGTGAAAAACGTTTTGGTCAGTCCATTTGTTTAAAGCGACATGTGAGAACTCACACAGGGGAATGTGAACATTGTGAAAAATGTTTTAGTCAATTTAGTACTTTAAATGTACATGTTAGAATTCACACCGGAGAAAGACCTTATAAATGTGAACATTGTTTTAGTCAATCTCGTAGTTAAAACAGACACATTAGAACTCACAAAGGAGTAAGACTTTATAATTGAGACATTGTGAGAATTGTGTTGGTCTGTTTGGTAAGTTCAAAACACACATGATAATTCACACTGGAGAAAGAACATTTAAATGTGAACATTGTGAAAAATGTATTAGTCTTTCTAGTAGTTTAAACAGACACATTAGAACTCACAAAGGAGAAAGACTTTATAAATGAGATATTGTGAGAATTGTGTTGGTCTGTTTGGTAAGTTCAAAACACATGATAATTCACACTGGAGATACAAAAACGTTTTAATGTGAACATTGTGAAAAATCATGTGGTCTGTAAGATTTTACATGAGTATTGAGTAAGATGTATGTACGCAGAAGAAGGACCTTTTAAATGTGAACGTTGTGGAAAATGTTTTCATGTCATGAATCTAGATGTTTAAAGTATCACATGAGAACTCACACAGTGTAAAATAGATGTGATCTTTATGAAAGATGTTTTTGCCACTCTAGTGATTTAAAGACACACAGAATACGAACTGACACTGGAGAAAAACATTTGAAATGTTAACATTGTGAACGATGTTTTCATACCAGAGAAAGTCCCTTTCACATTGAGAATAAATGTTTTGGTGAATCTAGTATTAATTTGAAGATGCATATCAAAATTCACAATGCATAGTGAAAAATACAAAACGATTTAGTATCTCACCTGTTAAGTCCCAATTTAACTTTGTCCCACATATCTGACAAATCAAATCAGAGAGGAAATGGATATTTTTGGAAAATAAAGAGATAAACAAAGTTATTGCTGCACAACATGCATTTTGAAACGAACAATCAATCACTCATAGCCTACCTTACTTATTTTAAATGTGAAAAATACAAAACGATTTAGTATCTCACCTGTTAAGTCTCAATTTAATTTTGTCCCACATATCTGACAAATCAAATCAGAGAGGAAAATGGATATTTTTGGAAAATAAAGAGATAAACAAAGTTATTGCTGCACAACATGCATTTTGAAACGAACAATCAATCACTCATACCTTACTTATTTTAAATGTGAAAAATACAAAGCGATTTAGTATCTCACCTGTTAAGTCTCAATTTAATTTTGTCCCACATATCTGATAAATCAAATCTGAGAAAGACCATTGTTTCTGGAATGCAGTCAGACCTTTACATGTCAACATTGTGAAAGTGTTCCAACGATTACTTTAGTGCATCTATTATTTCACTATGCATAATATTATATTGAATAAAGTTGTATTGTAAATGTCCTGAACATTTAAATGGATTTGAAAAAACCATTAATAAAATGTTTAAATAAAAAATTTGTCAAAGTTTAATGGTATTAAGCAGGAATGACAAATCGGGAACTTTCAAAAACATGCTGGAGTTTTGAATTTTCGTTGAACTAAGATAACTTATCATTTGAAGCAATATGTTGGGAATATGTTTCTGGAAAATTCAAAAAGATCTATTTGTTGACCCTTAATAAAGTACAACTTTTAGCTATTTTGAGTCACATTTTCATAGGGCTGAAAGGGCTATTTTATCGTTTTAATGGTCGTTTTCTGACCATGTCCATGATGAGCCTAGTCATGTGAATGATATGTGGGACTAGTGAAATTGACAGTAGGTAAAAGCAGGAACCTTGTCATCTTAGTTCAAAAATCAAATATGATTTTTGCTATGAGACCTTAAAATATTTGATTATGGAATAAAAAAGTTATTTTTGGAAAATAAAGAGATAAACAAAGTTATTGCTGCACAACATGCATTTTGAAACGAACAATCAATCACTCATACCTTACTGTATTCTTGGTACTTATGAGTGCCAATCAAATCCCAAATGGAATTATAAAATTGGGAATGATTATTGTACATTCTTGTATTATTGTGCTTTTCTAAACTTAATTAGCCCTTTAAAAACAAACAAGACAAATATTATTATTTTTATGTGTGTAATTTTATGATGCGACAGTAGTTTGTCAAAAGATATTAATATAAAAGCCTTAAAGCTCACTTCAGTTTTTATCGAAAGGTGTGCAAATGTATATAGGATTTTCCTTTTGTCCATATTGTCCATTTCTTCATAAACCATACTAACAATCTGACAATTTTATTTTTTCCCTAATTTGGTTACTGGAACTTAACTTCGAAAATCCGTTGATCTTACAGCATTGCCCGCTGTGAATGAAACTGTCTACCGGCACACCACTCGTAAATTGTATTGTTGTTCTTCCACACGGCACCCACAGGGAGTAAGTCACCCCTCCTTGTATTCTCTGTATTAAAATATAGTATACAGAATGTATGAGGGAGGGGTGACTTACTCCCCATGGCAAAACTGCAAAACCTCCCCATGCTGTCACATTGTCACGTACAGAACCATCTGTGGCAATGGTATGAAGGCGATGCTTCCTCATGGTACTCCATGACTGCTGCCTGTTTATGTGGTTACAAATGGAAATGTCAGATTTCTTATATTGCGTTAAAAAACAAAAACAATGTTCATAAATTAAAACAAGAAGCTGCTCATCAATACTGGCTACCAAGATACATCATCAGTAGTCTCCCTTTCTTGGATTTCGGAACTAGGCAACGGGACTTTACCCCTGCTCCGACTGTCTCCGATCATTATTTGGAAGGCGCTCCAAGCAGAGGATAGATAATCAGATCCATACAAAGACCAAACAGCTAAGTACATCAACTGTTCGCTATTATAAAGAAAAAAGAGAAGAACTATGGGGGAACTTGGAATAATGCCCGAACTTGATTTCTGTTTTAACTGGAGAGTTAGATTGGAAAGTAAGACATATACTCTTCTGCTTGGTAACAGTTCACATAGTAATACGAACAAACTTAATGTGTCCTTTATCTAAATTTTCAATGTATCTATTGCAACGCAAACAGAGAATTTGATTTTTGAAATGAAGTAACAAACGGGACGTATATGGCAAAATGTGACACATTGGTCATCGTTCATTATTCCGTTGCTTGAATATAAAGGTCAGGCTTCAAGTTGATGATCGACAAAATTCCTTGAAATAAAAATCCAGTGGCCTGGAAATGCAATTTATTAAATGAATTCACAGACTCCTTGGACAAGAATTTTTCTCTTTTTATAAAAGCCCAATGTAGTTCATTTCGAGAGTTTGAAGTAAACTCCAATGTAAAAAAGCATAGTGATTAGAATCGCAAGAAACTGCGAATACCGCGCCTGGTCTATATATCTATTGCATTGACGATCCACACTGGTGTAAACATACCATGCTAAATGGATGCATCTTTTGCATTGACGATCCACACTGGTGTAAACATACCATGCTAAATGGATGTATCTATTGCATTGACGATCCACACTGGTGTAAACATACCATGCTAAATGGATGTATCTATTGCATTGACGATCCACACTGGTGTAAACATACCATGCTAAATGGATGTATCTATTGCATTGACGATCCACACTGGTGTAAACATACCATGCTAAATGGATGTATCTATTGCATTGACGATCTGCATTATTGTAAACATACCATGCTAAATGGATGTATCTATTGCATTGACGATCCACACTGGTGTAAACATACTATGCTAAATGGATGTATCTATTGCATTGACGATCTGCATTATTGTAAACATACCATGCTAAATGGATGTATCTATTGCATTGACGATCCACACTGGTGTAAACATACTATGCTAAATGGATGTATCTATTGCATTGACGATCCACACTGGTGTAAACATACCATGCTAAATGGATGTATCTGTTGCATTGACGATCTGCATTATTGTAAACATACCATGCTAAATGGATGTATCTATTGCATTGACGATCCACACTGGTGTAAACATACCATGCTAAATGGATGTATCTATTGCATTGACGATCTGCATTATTGTAAACATACCATGCTAAATGGATGTATCTATTGCATTGACGATCCACACTGGTGTAAACATACCATGCGAAATGGATGTATCTGTTGCATTGACGATCCACACTGGTGTAAACATACCATGCGAAATGGATGTATCTATTGCATTGACGATCCAGACTGGTGTAAACATACCATGCTAAATGGATGTATCTATTGCATTGACGATCCACACTGGTGTAAACATACCATGCTAAATGGATGTATCTATTGCATTGACGATCCACACTGGTGTAAACATACCATGCTAAATGGATGTATCTATTGCATTGACGATCCACACTGGTGTAAACATACCATGCTAAATGGATGTATCTATTGCATTGACGATCCACACTGGTGTAAACATACCATGCTAAGTGGATGTATCTATTGCATTGACGATCTGCATTATTGTAAATATACCATGCTAAATGGATGTATCTATTGCATTGACGATCCACACTGGTGTAAACATACCATGCTAAATGGATGTATCTATTGCATTGACGATCCACACTGGTGTAAACATACCATGCTAAATGGATGTATCTATTGCATTGACGATCCACACTGGTGTAAACATACCATGCTAAATGGATGTATCTATTGCATTGACGATCTGCATTATTGTAAATATACTATGCTAAATGGATGTATCTATTGCATTGACGATCCACACTGGTGTAAATATACCATGCTAAATGGATGTATCTATTGCATTGACGATCCACACTGGTGTAAACATACCATGCTAAATGGATGTATCTATTGCATTGACGATCTGCATTATTGTAAATATACCATGCTAAATTAATATATGCAGGCTATTGCATCAACGATCAGCGCTGACGTTACGCCATGTTAAATGTATGTATCAGTTGAATTGACGATCTGCATAAGTGTAAACATACCATGCTAAATTAATGTATACAGGCTGTTGCATCAACGATCAACACTGGTGCATACACACAAAAATCAGAACTGATGTAAACGCTAAATGTATGTATCTATTGTATTGACGATCCACACCAGTGCGAAAATCGCATGGTAATTAAATGAACATGTTGCACTGACGATCAACACTGGTGTAAATATACCATGCTAAATATCTGTATCTATTGTATTGACGATCCACGCCAGTGCGAAAATCGCATGGTAATTAAATGAACATGTTGCACTGACGATCAACACTGGTGTAAATATACCATGCTAAATATCTATATCTAAAGATCTATTGTATTGATGATGCACGCCAGTGCGAAATCGTATGTTGATTAAATGAACTATATTAAATGCACTGACGATCCACACTGGTGCAAACATACCATGCTAAATCTATGTAT